TGAGCTGCGGTCAGTCAAAAACAGGTGTGGTGACGTCAGTTTACCAACATGGTGGCTGCTGGCCTCCTCTGTGGTCTGACCGGTGTGGAGAACCGAGATGGACCGCTTCCTTCCCCGTCTCGAACCCAGAATTCAGCCCTGAGTGCGGTGCTTGCGCGTCTGGCAGAAACTGCAGCGCTGTAACCCTGCGTCTCTATCCCAGCGCGCCTTGCAGACTCCAGCCGCGGGGCGATTCGCTGAATAAGCAGTGTTACCCTCCGTGCGACAAACCTCTCGCGTTTGAGTCCCCGTAGCCGATCCTCATGCGATGGAAATCCGTCCTCCAGGTTCCGGCGCACCCCACTATTGCTGGAAATTCCTAACAAGATATCCTTTAGCCGTCCTGACTTGTCATACTCCCACACAGTGAAGCAGCACACGGGGGTAATGCACTCCCCTCGCCGCCATCTTCCCCCCAACTCGGAAAAAAAAAAATTTTAACAAAAATAATAGTGATAATAAAAAATTAAAATTAAAATTAAAAAAAAATAATAAAATAAAAAAAATTAAAAAAATAGAAACATTGAAAAAAAATTAAAGAACAACAACAAATAAAAATTGAAAATGAAAGAAAAAGAAGAAAGAAAAAAAAGAAAAAGAAAAGAAAAAAAAATGATAATAATAATAATAATAAATGCAGTCCTAGAGTTCTATTAACTTCTCTTCCAGTAGGTGGAGCTGTGCCCACTGGGCCAAGCTTCTCCTCTCAATAGGTGGGAACCATTCACTGTGCAGCAGCTCTTTCTCCTAGACTGGGCGGGTCTCCAATCCTGAGTGTCTAGGGCCTTGTCTTGTGTTTCCTCAAGCCAGGCCGTGCTCACCTGTGGCGCTCACCACAATACTGTCTACACGCCAGGTCTGCTGCTCCTGGGAGCCCTGTTTTCATGAACACCTGGGCTCACTCTCCCTGTTTGCCTCCCTCAGACCCTAAGTTTGTAGAGCTTGGGGCTGAGATCCCCCAGCGAATTTGCTTGCCCTCCTGTAGCCACGCCCCCGGTAGCTGGTGCAAGAGACCTCAGTTGTCAGCACTGGTGGGAGCGGTAGCCGGGAGTTCCGCGCCGCGAGTCCTGCGCCACTCCTGGTTCCCTCGGTCTGGTTATTGCGTTCACAGGAGAGCTGGGAGTGGCCCTTAAGGTTTCCCCGCTGTGTGGAGAGAGATGGCTAGGGGATTACACACCTGTCGCGCTGGTTTCACTGCAGTTATCTCCTCCACCCATGACGCCATTTCTCTGCCATGGTGATATCCCATGCAAATGGTGACCGTTTGTTCCCTTTGCCGGATGACCAATGCAACGGGTGGGTCCTGACTGTCTCTCCCAATCCCCGTTTCAGTCCTGTGGCCACTGCCTATGAAGGCTCGGTTGGCTTTTACCTCTGTAAGTTCCTAAGGGCCGGCCAATTATTTCAGCGGGATCGTTAGTGCTGAGTCACACGAAGCAGGCGAACCGGAGCTTAATTGCCTCCGATTCGGGCTCTGTGTGTATGTTCTGAGGGGCCCAGCCTGTACACCCCAGATCCACGTCAGCTCAGCATTGCCTAGTGATCCTGAGCAAACAGCATTTAGACAGTTTACGGCTCCCTATGCCCTCACAGTTGAAGATGTCAGAGACTTGATCTCTCTGCGCCTGCCACCATGTTACATCTCCTCAGTGATATTCATGTTGCCCTTACAGCTTCCTGGTATAAGCAAGTTCTTGGGATTATACAAACTGCTGCTTCTGTTTCCAGTCCAGATTTCTAGAAATGAAACTCTGGGCCGCGCTGACGAGCGTCCGCGCTTGTCTGCGCCCGTAGCAGAGCCGCCCTGGCCTCCGCAGCTCTTCAGCCCGGTGCCCGGCCCCAGGGGCCCAAGCGGCTGCCGCCGCGGCTCTCCGTCCCCCTCCTCCGGAGCACGGGTCCCCTGGCAGGGGGGTGCAGAACGACCCCAGAGCAGGCTCTGCCCGAAGGTGCAGCGGCGAACAGGCCACAGAGACGCTCGAGGCTGCAGTCCAGCCTTCGGAGGACAGGGCTCGGCACGCAGCCCAGCTGCAACCTCTAGGTGCGGTTGCCGGACAGTGTATACGGAGCCATCAAGACAGCAAGCAGAAAGCAAATGGCGGCTCCCGCGGAGTGGATTTTCGGCACAGAAACCACAGCCCCGCCAGCAATCCCAATCCACAAACTCTCCCTGTATAAAAAATATTCAAAAAAAAAAGAAAAAAAAAAAAGGCGGGGCGCACTGAGCTTTCTTTGCCTCGGGTACTTACAATCCACTGCTGATTGCACATTCAGCTTCTCCGCCCGGAGCGAAGCGAAAGAGGAAGCAGATGGGAGCAAAGCGCCCGCGGCTCTCACATTTGTGTGTTTTAAAAGTATTTTTATTTTATAATTCCAACTGTCAACTATCTGTGATAAAAAAAAAAAAAAAAAAGGAAAATAAAACTGATTTAGGCAAAGCAGTGTGGGAGGGACAGAGTCCTGCTCCAGCCCAACTTCAGAGGAACCCAAAGCCACGAGTACCACCAGGGTCCTACAAGGTCCCCAATGCACCCAACAACTCTGTAAACTGCCATATAGAGTTTATTCTGTGGCTCCTCAATGTACCAGGGGCCTGAGGAGCTGCCTGGCCACATCGTGCTGAGGAGCTCCTGACCCCTTGGAATCTCCACCTTTGATGTCCTTGCTCAGATCAGCTGTGGGAAGCAGAGCAGGAGCCTGGGAAAGGGGCTCGGGAAAGACACACTTTCATGTACTGAGCGGCTGCAGAAGCACAGGACCGGGAGCATTAGGCTGAGCGTCCGGCTGATCACCGCCCCTCACCCCCAGCCACACCATCCTGAAAATGGCACCTCGGTTCCACCAGTTGCTCATGGAAACCTTGGAGTCCACCTTGAGTCTTCCCTTCCTCTCCCTTCCACATCCAATCCAGCAGCAGATGCAATTGACACTTCCTTTAAAATATACCAGAACCCCAAAATACAGCGCATCCCCACCACGCTGCTTCAGGCCGCAGCCTCCCTGACCTTGACTTAGGTTTCACCTGCTGCCTGGCCCTCCGGCTTCTCCACTGACCAGCCGCAGCCCATTTTCTAGACTGTCCCCAACAAGCCAGGCTTGTTCACCACACCACAGTGACTCCTCGATCACTCAGGATAGGAGTCTTTACGGTGGCTCTGTGCCTTATGTGGCCCAGAGTCCACCCCTCACCCTCTTGACATCAGTTCGTACCAGTTACCCTTGCCGGTTCCTCTCCAGTGGCGCTGGCCGTGCAAACAGCCACCATCGTGCCCAGTCCCCGTCCCCAGGTGTTGGATCCGTGTTTCCACTTCAGTGATGAAAGTTCCCACTTTACTGAGCATGTGCTGCATGTGGATCGCTTAGAACTCAGGGCCTGTGACCGTCCTCAGTGAGGGAGGATGGAAGGGATTTTAAAAATAAGTGAAAGGAGACATAAGGAAGAACAGGAAATAAGATTTGATTCAGAAGTGCCACGTACTTATCCAGGCCCGCCGTTCCCGGGGCCAGGCTTCCCAGGCCTGTCGCTCCAGATTTCTGGGAGATCTGTAAATCTGCCCTGTGTACTATTAAGTAGCCCACCAACAAAGAGATTAAGCAGAGAGAGAGACGGTATCTTGAGAAACCAGTCAGGGAGTTGTCGAGTGCTACCTGTGGATCAGATAATGAAGACCACGTCAGCCTGAGGATCCTGAGATTGGCAGACCACCAGGAACCATCCTGGGATGCCACACGGATGTCATCCCCACAGACCTACCCCCACCCCTCACCAAGTCTCCTTTAACAGCATTAGGAACCCTGAGAATGCATCCCTTGCTCTGGAAATGGTCCACTTCTGTCCTTGAACGTGTATTCCTTGCTTTCCTAAACTAATCTCTGTGCCTCTGCTAACTTGTGCTGCAATTCTTTTCTGTTCTGTATGTCCAGGACCTCACTGGCCCAAAGTTGAGTCAGAGGGCACGCATACGGCTGATTAGGGGTTTGATTCTGCTTCTGCCTGATGATTCTGAAGGGTCTGGCTGAAGTTCACTCCAGCTATGGGTGGATAAGGCCCCAGCGCTCCATTGCTGGAGAATATTGGTTCTGCTGTGTTGCCCTCCCCCCTTCAATATTCTCCAATCCTGATTTTACAGATGAGAAAATAAGGCCCAGATCAGCTGGGTGACCTGCCCAAGATCAGTGACAAAACCAGGCAGAGATGGCAACACGGGAGGATGCTCACCACCTGACCACCAGCCAGCAGAGATACCCCAGCCTGGGACGTCCCTCTGCACCCCCAGAACCTCTTCCAGCCCCTGGCCACCCACAGACTCTCCTGCAAAGCCAGCAGCATACTATGTCTTCAGTGATTCAGAAACTTCACGTCCTGGAACCTGGGGAGCATTTCCAAACCATGGTCAAGTTACGATCGCTCTCACCCACACAGGCACCAAATGACCCGTGGCATGAAGGATTTGCTATCCACTGCACAGCAGATCCAACATCAATAGAAAGCCCTGGCCTCAAGGGGCTCCAAGGAAAGCCTCTGTTTTTAAATATAAAATAAAAATAATAATAAATCTGACAGCTGCCAGCAAGCCATGGGTGAACCGAAAACTCAGGTTTTTGCCTCTTGCCTTCATCTTCAACCAAGTTGGAATTTCTGTCCTCTACGGTGGTTTGGGTCACATCACTAGGACCTTCACTGGCTTCAGGATTTTAGTCAAAGCTGTCACTCAGAGAGTGAATTATATCAGCATGCCAGAGCCAGGGCTGCTTGTTAAAACATTTCCACGTCTGTTAGAGCTCACAGGCCCCAGTGTCTTTTTCCAAAGATATATCAAAAATGATCTCTTTTTTAAAAAAGCAACTTACCACTGGAATCATTCATTTTGTTTTCTCTATCCACTTTGAAAAACATACATTCAAAGACAGACCGCACGTTTGTTTACTTGGGCTGCACTAAGAAAGTCCCATAGACTGACTTGTTTACAACAGAAATTTATTTCTGACACTTCCACAGGCTGGAAGTCCAAGGGAAGGGCGCCTGTTAGTCAGGGTCAGGGGAGGGTGCTCTTCCTGGTTGTGGACTCCCAATGTCTTGTTGCATCTCCCTGGTAAAAAAAAAAAAAAAAAAGAGTTAGGTAGCTCTCTGGTCTCTTCTTAGAAAGGCACTAATACCATTCATGAAAGGTCTACTGTTGTTACCTAACCACTCCTCAAGGGCCTCACTACCAAATATCATCTGTGTTAGTTAGATTTATGTTACTATGACAAAATACTCTAAAAAAATCAACTTACAAGAAGAAAAGGCTTATTTTGGCTCACAGTTTCAGAAGTTTCAGTCTATGGTCAGTTGGCCCAGTTGCTTTGATATCTGTAGGCAGAGTTCATCATGACAGGGGAGGTGAGAGGCAGAGGAGCCCTGTTTATCCCATGATGCCTAAAACAATGAGAAAGAGAGGAAGAGACTGGCATCCCAGTGGCCCTTCCAAGGTAACTTCTTCCTACTAGTCCCTACCTCCCAGAGGTTCCGTCACCTCCCAACTCTGCAGGCCCAGCCTCCAACATAGGAGAGCTGGGGGACAATTGGATCCAAACTAGAGCACCATACCCACCCACTTTTAAAAAGAGAGGTATTCAGAGGGTTCCGGGCCTTGCGATGTCGGCTAGGACTGCGTTGAGACACCCTCAGTTTCACGCAGTTTTAGACTGGCGGGTTTTGCCACAAACTTCAACTGGTAAGACTTCAGAGAACTGAAAAGAATCATAACTGAAGCTCCTAAAACATACACCCCAATGCATGTCCCAATCCCAGCCCCCCCTGGCCAGGGGAAAGCACAGGGCTATTCCTTTCACCAGCTGGGTCAGCGGGGTGGCCTGGGGGAGGGGCGGCACCCCTTGCCCCCTGGACAAGTACAGCCTGTGAGCAGAGTGTGGGCAGAAAGGACTGGCTCCTAGGTTAGGGGACCACCAAAGGGGAAAGAGGAAGAGCCGGGCCCCCACTCCATCCCTCCCCAGCTCAAGGGAAGCTGTCACCGTCACCCCCACCATGTCCTTGGCACACCCCACTGTGTAACCCACACTGCGCACACCTGCTAAAACACTGACTTGGAAATGATGTACAACTGCTCTGACAATGTGATGTTCATGATAGAAATAGAAACGCTGAAGTTTTAGGTAAAAGAAGAAGGCAGAGAAATCCTAATATTTTCTTTCAGTGTCCCCAAGAGACTGCTTCCAGGAGTGCCCGCACACCCATGTGGCCACTCACATGCATATGTGTGCGCCCACGCCTGAGACGTCATGCACTTTTTGGAACCCTCTGGACGCTGGGCCGGGAGCATCACTGCTCACACCTGACCATCAGAAGCTGGGAGGCCAGGTGGTCTGGATGTGGTGGGAGGGGTGGGTGACCCCCACCCAGCAAGCAGCCACGAAGGCGTTCTCACTTGAGACCCAGAGGCCATGGGTAGAATGTGAGGGAAGAGGAAAAGGGTGAGAAAAGCGCATTTCCTACCTGGTCCTGCTTTGGTATTTTATGTGACCAGAGCACATCAGATCCAGCCCACTTAATAAAAAAGACAATTGATCTGATTTTTCGTGGAGGGGACAGGATGGTTCCCATTTTAGTTTCTTTAAACTCAAATTTTTGCCTAGGAAATGTGTTAGTGCGTTTTTCAGAGGGGAACTACTTGCATTAGTAAGCGACAGTCTCCGTCATCGTCCTTTACCACGTTGGAGAGGGGCGAACCTCCATCTCTGGGTCCCCGCCTCCGCGCGGGGAGGACGTGGTCCCGGCGCCGGCCAGGTGGTGGCGCTGGAGGCAAATGGTGCCGGGCAGGTCCCGGGCGCGCCGACTGACCAGGCTCTGGAGCGAGCCCTGTCCGGCGAAGGAACTCGACGCCCAGCCTTCCTCTATGCGAGTTGAGGTGCAGAGGGACTGTCTCGGGGCCCTCCGGGGGACTCTGCGCTGCCAAGACGACAGGCCCCGCACGAAGCGGTGTGAAAGGGCCCGAAAGGAGGGGGCGCCCAGCAGACCTGGCCTTGGAGCCCCGCAGCTGCGGGGGAGGAAGCGGGTCCCGGAAAGCAGCTGCGGTGCGGGCAGGAGGGCCGGGCAGCCGGCGGGGTGCAGAGCAGGGGTCAGCGCAGCACTGAGCGGGCAAGCCCCCAGGGCCAGGTAAGAAGACCAAACCTGGCAGGCCCGCCGACCCCTCTCCGCCCTCCCACGTAAGGAGGCCGGTTCCAGTTACACTGTTGTCTTTTCATATGCAAATGAGGTCAGGTGGTTGGTTTTCCTGGTGTCTTCTTTTCCAAAATTATGATCACCTTTTGCAAGTAAAAAAGATCTTCTGTCCTCTGGGTCACCGTTTGACTACAGGGGATTGTCCTGCCTCTTTAAATAAACTTAAAAAAAATAAAATAAAATGAGGCCACACGGGCAAAAGTTCAATTTAAGGAAGGAAGTTCTGGAAGCAAAGCCGCGTACATTTTGCTGAAGTCTGCAGATTGTTCAATGAAAGATTTCTAAAATGGAATGTTTCTGAAACCTGAAATTTTAAAGGCGAATTACTTAGTCTTTTCAATAAGACAAAGTATCTTCTGCGTCTCCATCCTCTAGAAGAATAAAATAAACTATCTAGCGGCATAGATATTTGGATTTATTTCCAATTTCTAATTAACCTGTACTTGGTGTCATAACTATAAAGGAAGGGCAAGGAGAGGGCTGAGGCTCTCACTGAGACAATAAGGAAGAATAATGAGAAGAATGAGAAAAGACCAGCGCCCCCACCCCACAAGAATAACCAGGTTGTATGAGGTTGAACCATGAAACGACTAACAAAATAACTTGTATGCACCTCTCCCAGTGATGCTTGAGTTCAAGACCGGCTTCGCAGGAAAAGAAGAAAGTGAGATCCTCTTGTAATTTCATTTCCTATTTTTCTGTTTCGCTCCAACCCTGGAAAATTCTCTGTGACCTTCATCTGTGACACACAAGAGCTTACTGCATTGGCTGAAGCCAAGTCCTGTCTCTTTACAGATACAACAAAAAAACTGGGAGCCCTCTCCCCAGGAAGCCTCCATTGAATACATCTGCTGGCCCACTCCTCCTGCCCTCAGCGGCCTCGCTGCCCCCCACCCCATGTGCATATGTGGAGTTGTGGCCTCTCTGCAGGGCAATCTGGAAAGGGGCAGGAAAATGCAAACCACGTTGCTCAAATGTCTCCAGGCCCATTGGAAAACACCTACGCGGAAGAGATCATGGATGCTCTTATTTTTTTGGTGCACACAGTCTTCACAACAGATGTACACTTCAGTGAAATAGTCCCGCACTGTAAAAAAGAAAGAAAGAAAAGCAAAAAGAAATATTCATTTCAAAACCAATGTAGTCATTGCTCTAAGTTATACCATAACCCAGTTTGAAATAGGACGGGAAGCAATCCACTAATATTTTGATCTATTGCTAAATTCAAGTTCAGAAATTTAAATGCCTTATAGCTCATTATGTGAAGACCATCTTTGGCCATTATATTTAGAATAAGTACCTGGTTATCAAAATTGTTTTTTTTTTTTCTTTCTGTTTTTCTTACGAATAATGAAAGGAAAGCAGTGGTAGAACATTCCTGATTAAATAGCCAGAATACACAATGTTATGGTTTGGATGTGGTGAACCCCAAAAGCTCATGTGTGAGACAATACCAGAAGGCTCAGAGAAGAAATGATTGGGTTTTAAGAGCCCTAACCCAATCAGTGAATTAATCACCTGATGGGATTAATTGAGTGAAAACTAAAGGCAGGTGGGGTGTGATTGGAGGAGGTGGGACATCGGGGATAGGTCAAGGCTTTGTGGCTTTGTGGTATATGCTTGTATCTGGAGTCTCTCTGTGCTCTCTGATCATTATGTGAGCTGCTTCCCTCCTCCAAACTCTTCCACCATGGTGTTCTGCCTGACCCTGAGCCCAGAGGATTGTAGCCTGCTCTCTATGGATTGAGACCTCTGAAACCTTGACCCCCTAAATAAACCTTTCCTCCTCAGTAGTTTTTCTAATCAGATCCTTTGGTCACAGCAGTGAAAAAGATGACTAAAACACACACCCTACACAAAAAGGCAGCCCAGACTAAGTGAATGAGAATGTCGTTTCTAGAGGAAGATTTTTCTGAGTTCAAATCCCAGCTCTGCAAGCTACAAGTATGGTGACCTTGGGCTCCTCATTCAACATTTCAGTACCTCAGTTTCTTCATCTGTAAAATGGAAATAATAAGAAAGCTACCTCTTGAGATGGCTGAAAGATGTGAATTAATACATGTAAAGTATTTGGGATGGGTTCTGTGCCTGGAACATAAAGTACTCAGAGTATTTTACTATATTATTATTTCTTAGTTTTTGTGCTGCTGTAACAGCCTGGGTAATTTATAAAGAACAGAAATTTATTTCTCTGGGTTCAAGGCCCTGGCAGGTCTGGCGTCTGGAGTGGGCTGGTCTCGGTTTCCAAGAGGGTGTCTGTTGCTGCATCCTCTGGAGGGGAGGAATGCTGCATCTTCACATGGTAGAAGGAGCCAAAGGGCAAAGGGTTCCTCCAGCCCTTTTATAAGCTGCTAATCCACCCATGAGGCAGAGCGCTCATAACTCAATCTATTCCCACAAGACCCCACCTCTCAATGCTGCCACCATGAAGATTGTTTCAACATGAGTTTTGGAGGGGACACCTTCAAACTATAGCGACCTGAGTTAATTTATCTACCCGTAAGCGGAGCGCAGGCTGTGCCTGCTCCGAGTCATTCCATGGCGTACAGAACAGCAGCTCTCAGGCTGTACCTAGCCCTGATTTATTCCCTCTTTAGTCCAGTTGGTCCTGAGCTACTCCATTTTGACTACAAGTTCGAAGGCAGAGTGACTTGGTAACTCATCTGGGCAAATAGATGAACCAGACGCTGAACAAACACAACTTAATCAAAAGGAATGACCCCTGCCCCCAAAGCTGCACAGCACCATCATAAGGAGCAAACTGATGAATTAATTGTGCTAATAAAGGTCAGGACCTGGGAACTTATTGACTCACTCAGAAGCACATGGAGGCACCGGAGCGTCAGAGCCATATCCTGAGCTATCACTTTCACCAGATGTAACCCCCTCACCTGAAACCCATATAAGAGAAGCGCTACGAGTCTGGTTGGGTGGCACTCGTGACCCATCACCAGCCCCTCCTGCAGATTCAGTGAACCTCTCTCTGGCTCTCTGTCTGCAGGCTTTGGCTTAGCTGTACCACCTGCTTGGCATGGTCCACTTTGAAACTGCTGCTGTCCGAACCCCAGCCTGCAAAGAGCTCTGCATTCTGACAGCTCTGTCCCCTGGATAGCTCCTGGACTGGTTCACAGTCCTATCAGGCCACCTGGAGTGACTGCATCTGAACCTGCTCCCTGCCTTCACGCTGAGAACAGCCTCCTGGGGCCCTGTCACCCTTGTAACCCATACATACCATTGTGTGAAGCGTGATGTGTGACCTGTGTGCTATGGACATTAGTCACTAAGCTTGGGATAAAAGAACCCATGCTTGCCCAACTTATGACAGCTTGGAATCTCAAGGCCCAAGGAGGCCTGCGGTCCTGACCGGGTGCCGAGGAGGACACCCCCTCACCCCTCAGCCCTCTCATCCTACATTCCAAGAGAGACACACACACATGTTGGATCAGCGTCTCCCCAGATTCCTCTTGTTCTCACCTTGCAGTTCTAGAATTCAGAAAGTCAGGCCCAGGGAAGCTGCTTTCTCCACCAGCTCTGCCCGGGGATAGACCCTCCTGTGTCCTGGGCTGTACCTGAGTCTCTGGATGTGGAGGAAGCTCCGCTCAGGGCTCTCTTGACCACCCAACCACTGCTCCCTGAGGCAGGGTGCTCTTGGCCACCCACCAACAGCTCCCACCTCCTCTGGGCTTCTCAACATTTCCTAGAGCCCCAGGTGACAGGAGAAAAAGCCTGCCGTTATCCACAGTGTAACAAGAATCAGGGAAGAAGTGAAGGAGTGCTTCAGAGCAGCCTCCTCTGCAGGAACTGGTCCTCCCAGGCACCCAGCGAAGGCCCACAGCCGTCCACTGACCCAGCACATATGTCAGAGTCTGTTTCCCACAGGGCGGTCACTATAGCCTGAATCTCCTTTGGGGACAAAATCGGACTGAACCCTGCCCTCCAGGAGGCTACCTGAAGCAGGAAACAGGTGTGATGTGAAGGAGCACATTAATTAGAAGGGAGTAAGCTGAACAGGGAAGGGTGCCGTTCAATGGGAAGAGACAGAGGGGTCAGGATGGGTAGGGGCCAGGGCAGGCCCTGTGGAGGCTGGAGGCTGGAGGGTGGGGTGTGGCCACCAATGGAAAGGATCTCAGAGCACATAGTGCTGCTTCCAGCTGCAGAGGCCCGTGCTCGAGGCCCAACCCCGCCCTCCTCCCTGCTGATACCACCCACTTGCCTACTGTGTGACTCACATGTGTCCCCAGCCCTGCCTCTGATTCTCCTGCAAGTCTTACCTGTCCTTGTAGCACAACACTGTTTGGTCTCTGCTGCACACTGTCCAGACGCCAGGTGTGGGGACAACGTGGATAAGGGAAGTGCAGGTACTTCCCAGCAGCCCTGACCCAGGGCTCCAGAGACCCATGGGATGTGGCCCAGGCCCCAAGACAAGAGCCTCCAGGCAGTTACCTGAGGGAAGCCAAGGTCAACTGCGATTGAGCCCTTGGGCTATCAAAGGGTAGGGTTTCTTCAAGTGGGGACTGTGGCTGTTTTGAGGGATATCCAAGCACATATGTAGAAAGGTCTGGCAAGATGGGATCAATAGACAGAGCGGGTTCCTTGTCTCGGGACTTCTCAGCGCCCTCGGTCAGCAAGTGCAGGGCAGGAGTCTCTCTGCCCTTATGGGGACTGTGGAGTCTCCACGCCCCCCCACTCCCAGGGTCTGCATTCTCGGCTGTGTCTAGAGAGCAAGAGGAGGAAAGCAAAGACTGAGCCTGCTAGATACCCCTGTCTAGAGCAGTATCTCTGGCCTAGGAAGGTCTCTGTAAGGGTTTACTAAGGAGAGAGACAAAGGAGGCACCGGCAGGTGGTTATTCAGACATTTTCTTCCTGGGACACATCTTCAGACTCCTGAAGGACGGAGCCTCTACCAACATGTCTAAGGAACCCTGCTCCAGGAGAGAAGGAAAGACCAGATGTTGACCACCAGGTTCTTCACTTGATGTGGATGAGCCCAGAGTCTGCTAACTGATCTGCTGGCTTTTCTTTCTTAAGGAAATTGTTCCTTCTAAAATTGACTTAAACCAAGAATGTCATCATCATTGTCATCAAAACAGCCATCGTTGCTGATGCAGTTCTCCCCCTTCATTGTCTCAGTTTCTGTCTCTTTTTTTCCCAAAATCAAGCTTTTCAGTGCACACACTGGACTGCCGTGCAAGGGATCCGCCGGCCACCTTCCTCTCCC